GGTACCCCTCTTAAAAAAGAGAACTTTTATGTGAAATGAAGATATAAGGAAATATATGAAGCCCTTCACTCAGCTGAAAATAAATCTTTGAAAATTTGATCAAAATTTCTCAGCACTTGATGAGTTTGAAACCTAATATAGAATATTAGAACTAAAAATGACTTCATGTAAACTTGTACGTTGTATTTTTCATTCCACAAACTCATTAAAAATGATTCAATGTTAAGTTCTAAATTGTTGATAACTTGATAAATATAATGTAAACCTGACCAATGTGGTCATTATTTTTTTTTGATTCATTTATTTCCAAACAGCTCATTCCCAGCTAGCCTTAGCCTGATGCATTTGAATCAAATGAGTGATAAATAAATCAAGAATTCTAAATTGCATATGCTAGGTGTGTTTAGTCAGTCGGAAGACAAAAAATGTACGAATTTAAGGCATATAAGAATATGAGTAGAAAAAAGTTTTTCCCTGAGCAACACCCTTAGTTTCATAGTACACTAAAAAGTATGACTCTCTACTATCCAGTATGAGAAGTGAGTGTCTAGTGTCCTCAGAACCTCAGGGTGCTTAGCATTGAATGAATTAACCCTCAATTTGCAATACTTCATCCTCTGCGCACAGTAGATCATGCTGCAGGCAGGTGGTGTGTGTGTTAAGTGCGACAAGACACCTGTCGCACTCTTTAACACTTTAAATAAGCAGTAGCGTAGAAAATTACGTGGACAATTCATGAGGCATTTTAAGTACTGTTATCACACAGGTGGTATAGACTGTATATTAACAAGCACTGTGGTTATATAAATGGATGTTGTAGAATATTATAATATTGATTGCATAACATCCTGCGTAACCCTGTAATGAAGTCAATAATGGCTGCCTGAAAATTTGTTTTAAAGATTGTATTACATCCTACAGGTCATGCTGTATATCTGTATAAGAAATAATGCTATGAATAAATCTTTTTAAATGATAATAATTGTCTTAAAATTATTGGGAATGTGGTCATGACAGGGTCTAATCAGTTTTTACTTTATGATTTCTACTGCATACAATTTTGGGTATCACATATTTCATTTTCACTTTCATTTTCAGTAATAGAGTAGACGATGTCATAAATCATAGCATCTTATCAAAGAATTACCAACATGTCCATGTAATAAGCACATCAAAATTGGATTACATATTTTATCACTTATTTTAAAGATTTATTTAAAAGAGCTGTGAGTGTCAAACAAAAACATTAGTATTCAGTCCATAAATGACGTACAAAAAATAAACAATAGCATAAAATGAGAAAAGCATCCTGTTGCAGTGGTCATAGTCTATTTATATCATCTGCGTAATCATATATTCATACTATAAATATTTGCTGCATGTAAACAGATATACTTTTATTTCTTGTTATTTTATTGTATCACAGTTGTGTCTGGTGCCAGATGAAAAGAAGAGAACACAATGCAAAACCAAAATAATAAGAGGAACCAACAACCCAAAATATGATCAAAGGTTTTCATTGTAAGTATTTAAGTGAGACTTAGTAATTTATTTAGAAATAAAAAGAATTCAGCATGTTAGGCTCTATTCCCATAGATTTTAGATCGATCTATCCCCGCGGGGAGTCTCACTAGACTTCTTTCAGATAATCCGTCCTGCCTACTACAAGCTGTAAGGGGGTAATTAACTTTCGTGTCTGCCCGGCTGACAGCTATTTAGCGTGAACCCCCAGGGAGTTAGGTCGATCTAAAGTAGGTCGATCTAATCTATGGAAATGGGGTGTTAGTTGAAGAAAACATTTGGATTACCAAAAGTGATGGTTATTGGAAGATTTTTATATTTATTTTTCATTTCCCTTCTGAAAAAAGCATGCTTTTGCTTAATTTATTAATCAAAGCCAAATAATTAAGCTTTATTCTGAGATAATTTAGTGCAAGATAAATACAAATCCTTGATTTTTCCCAATATCTCAATATTTATAAAATTGTAAAGAAGTTGAACTAAAATGGCATGTTAGTATGTGTTCAGAAATTCTTGGCAGTTAATGATTTTAGGTGACTTTTAGTAAAGGGTCAACTAGAGGCGATGTCTAGCTAATTACTGTCATATTGATCTTTAATTACCATTGGCAAAGCTTGCTTTATCGGAAATGTGGAGGAACTCTAGGTACAACACGGCAGACAGGTTGTGCCTCAACATGTTAGGGGAGAGACTGATGGTAAATCTTGTCACTAATCCTCGTTCACATATTGGAGCAGTGATAATGATATCTTTGTTGAACTTCTAAATTTGTAATAAAAGCTGAAGGTTAGATTTTTTTAATTGACCAATTATGTTTCAGTCTGCTAAATTGTGAATCTGATATTATTTTATATGTGATGTTTAAGGGCTGCCACATGCATTACAAGAATTTCTAATCTGATTCTCTTTGTACTCCCCCGGGACTTTCCTCTGCCCTGTTTACTGACCCTGTTACCTGCATTCTGTCACAACTAAGTAAACAAAAAGACAGCAGGTAACACCCATCATGTTCAGCTGTTTTAATCTCAGTCTTGTCCCATAGCTCTCCCCCCTTAATCTTCACCCCGAGTACCACGCTTTAACACTACATTTCACTTCCATATCAATATGTTATGATCCATTACACTCTCAGAGTATTATTCCACAGTATTGTCCCCACCCAAGGGTGCAAAGGCCCACCATTGATCAATTGTTGTCTTAAGCATGCCTGGTGTTTTCTGTATTCTGGTAACCATTCAGCGTGCCTTTACTCACACTCGGCTGTTTACATTGGCTGGTTTGGGTGAGTGGGTGAGGTACTTTGCATACTACATTTTGTTGTGTACTCTAACAGAGTTCTTTTTGGTGCCATGCTATTTGCTACAGTCTACCCTCCTGAGTTGACTTAGGAATACCGAGAAGGATGCTAAGGCTGGGGTATTTATGAGAGAAAAATTACACTGGATGTGTTCCGTACAGTTTGGGTTAAACAATAAGGTAATTGTGACTTAAAGTATTACTGTATTCTTTGATGTGAAATGCTTGAGCCACTGACTAGCATTCACACCTCAACTGTGTGGGCAACATGTATTAAGAAATTGGGAATTTTTATGAGTGAAGTTCTGTTGGAATTACTGCTGAGTTAAAACTGGGTTTATCTTGAACATGTAATTTTGACCCAAAGTTATCAAATTTCATCTGTGTTCCTACTGTGACACAAAAGAACGCTTTGTGTGGTAATTTGTCCTTCAGAGTGCTATAGTTGATGGCTCAAACTGTGCAGGGAAAAAAAGTTAGAATTTTTTCTCACCCTGTCTATGTGATGTGTGACGGGAGCTCAAGATTTAAATGTTGTGAGTGGATATTTTGAAGATGTATATATTCTTCTCTGTTATACTAGAGAACTTTACACTCATTTCATTCAGTTTTGGCTATGGTAAGTGAACCTTCACAGCTGAAGCTTTCTCACTGATGTTATTATGCTGTTTAAGAGGGAGAGATCACAACATGGGTGAATGAAGACTGGATAAAAAAAACTATGGATCTTAAGGTGTATTAAGGTATCCTTGGAGGGGGGTGGGGGTGGGAGAGAGACAGTTCCAGAATAAATTAATACCAGACTAAACTGTATATATGGCTGCCAGGGTCGCTGCACTTAGACTAGGCATAACAATAGAGGCATTGTCAAGTTTAATATCTTTGGTTTCACAACAGACAGGCCAGGCAGTGCTATATGACACTTGAACATGTGCTTTAGCGTGGAAGTGTGTGGATCACAACATGGACTAATTTGTAAGCACTAACAGGTAGGATTTGATGGGTATTGATGCAGTTACTGTGTTGCTCAAACATTGAATTAACTGACTGTGTTTCTCTCTCTCTCTCTCTCTCTCTCTCTCTCTCTCTCTCTCTCTCTCTCTCTCTGTGTGTGTGTGTGTGTGCACACACTTGTAGGAGGGCAAGAAAATGATAATATTTTCACCAGACAGTTCTTTATCATGATTATATTGTTTACTTACTTATTCTATCTTGTATTTTATATCCATTGATAGGCAATTCATTTAAGGTTTATAGTTTCTTTTTGTACAGTAGGAGAGGGTAATATAAGTCACATGGTGTGTGGGGGTGGGGGTGGGGGTGGGGCTAGGTCAGCTAGGTGGATATGGTTATATAGTCCAAAGTGTGTTTTTGGTTGGGTATTAACATATAATACTACTTAGTAAGGGTTACTGGGGTGAAGAAGGCAGTACTGTGCAGTGTATGTTATCACAGTTGCCAATTGTTTTAGATTACCAGAGACAGCCCCATATGGTGATGGTTTATAGTGCCTCTCATCTACACTGAAGTCTTGGGCTCTATTCCCATAGATTTTAGATCGATCTATCCCGGCGGGGAGTCTCACCAGATTATTTTCAGATAATCCGACTTAAATGTCCGTCCCGCCTACTACAAGCTTTAAGGGGGTAATTAACTTTCGTGTCCGCCCGGCTGACAGCTATTTAGCGTGAACCCCCAGGGAGTTAGGTCGATCTAAAGTAGGTCGATCTAATCTATGGAAATGGGGTGTTGGACTTTTGCATTTCAAGAATGATAAAACACCTGAAACATTTATTCATATCACTGAAGTTGATGCTCTTCACTGTATATGTTATATTCCTCCCCCCTTCTCGGTGACTTGAGCTAGGCTACAGTGCTGATTTTTACTTTCCTTTTAATTTTTTAATTAGTGTCACATTGCCTTTTGCATTAATATTCCAAATTTCCAATTTTGACAGTTCTCTCTGATATCAACCTATTCATTCATTTATGGAGGCGCAATGGTCTTTAACAACAGGGTATTATGTTGACACACCAATGAATTTAATTGCAAAAAAAGTNTATGAACTTTGCCTTGGGCATACTTTTAAAAAGTTTAATTCAACTATTCTGCAACAGATTCTCCGAAGGCTAAAAAGTAGGATACATATAACACTAGAAGTAGGAAAAGGATATCACCACACTTACTTTCCATTTATGACACCATCTGGATTCAGCATTGGAACAATCTTGAAGATGTACATCTCTCTTAGAGTTTGTGCCATAGGAGCATTGCTCAGAAGAAACTGAATAGTACCTGAAAGATCCAAGATCACCCTCACAAATACACATCTCAAAATATATCAAAACTGTAGCAGGAGGCTTAGGTTTTGTAATATCTAAACGAAATCCCGTGATCTGCAAAATATAATGTGCATCAGAAATTATCAGATCTATTTGACTTAAGAGGCATTAATTTAAGCAAGCTAGACTGGACCACATCCATTTTAGGTCACAAAAACAGTCTGTTTTTTCATTTTTTTTTTTTTTTTTTTTTGAGCAGAATGGAAGTCTTATCCATGTACTCATTTCTATCTGAAGCTAGATTTTACCTTTCATCACCCAGCTGGAGTTGCTCTCCCCTGGATGTACCCTGGACGACAGGAAGATGTAAGGGCGGTTTCCTAGAAAAACAATACTGAAAGTAACTTACATGTCACGTTGAAAAATAAAAATTATTAAGAAATAAAAGCAAGTTGTGACATGTCTCAGACATACACCAATCGTGTATATCTTTTATTTTTACATTTCTTAGTTACTTACTAAACTGCTCTATTCCCTCTCTGTTGTTGCTGAGTGGGTAAGCAGTAATAGTCAGCAGGGGGACTGCATTGCCAGATATGGTCTCGGTTAGCACTTGGTTTTTAAAGTACATGCTGCTTTGGTCGTAGGTGTTTTCCCATTTGATTAAGTGAGTCTGTGAAAAACAAAAACAGAAACAAAATAATGATAATAAGAAGAAGGAAAAGAATAAGAATGAATGAATGAGTGAATAAATAAACGGTGTACAGAGTACTATAAACAAATGAATGTAATTCAGACAAATACACCAACCCATCCATCAATGTGAAACTATTCACAGATTTCCCATACATGATGATCATGAGCAGTCCTGTCAACCTACCTGTAGCATGGTATAGGTGTATGGGAAGTGGTATGCAATGTAGCAGATGTCTCTCTCATGCTTGAAGGTGATGGTAAAAGTTGCCGTGTAGTACGTCTTTCCTTTCTGTCCCCCTGTGACCTGTGAGCTGCGTGTGAAGTGGTTCTTGTAGTAGCATATCTCTGAGCCCACACGCAGCCAGTGTGGGCGGCCCTGCAGGGCTTCCTTCACAGAATACATCACTGGCTGCATTCCTGTAGAAGAGAAACAAAAATAACATTATTTTTCCAATCTTATGATAATAGAATAGATTTCTGGTTAATGTAGAGGTAACAGGACTGAGTTTATTGAAGCAAATGCCAGCTTACAGACACAACACAGAATCAATGAATAATATTAAGGGAAATCTAAAATAAGTGATTCACATATGTACAGTGCTTGAATATGGACATGTTTGCAGATCTGTGACCTGCTGATAAAATCATTAAAAAGTACAATTCCATTTGTATTCCTGAAGATTTACTAGTAAGGATAATAGAAGGAGGCATGTGTCAGGAATCATTTGTAACTTCAAATCACTTTATTCTAAAAATATCCTTTTTCAATTCTGTTACAAAAACATTATATAAAACACAAGGACATCTCACCATAATTGAACTGGCTGTTGAGTTTCTCACAGTTGCTGATGTTAAACCTGTATTGCCTGCCCACCTCCATGTTACTAATCTCAAAATAAAACCACTGGTGATGGTGGTTTGTGTTGATATCAGGATTCAGGAAGAGGTCATATTCATACTGACGCACCTTTAGAAATCAAACTGAATCTTGTTAAATTTCATATCATAAATACTGCACTAGTTTTATAAGTAGACTACATCATATTTAACATTTTTAAGTATATGGTAGTAAAAGACGATAAATTGTTGTGAGTTCTGCTTTATTACATTCAAGATTCCCGCGTCAAGTCACATGGTACCAGGTGTCATGCGACACCTGGCGTGACGCACAAACAATACATAGACTAATACACTACATTCCTCCCCATCATATTTTCAAAACATGATTATATATAAACCACTGATAATTAAGATAAAGTCTGAATTAATTACAATTGTTGAAATAAATTTAACAGACATATACGGATTACACTTTATCAACAGCCGTTGCTTTAAATGACAATGTTATATGTGTAATATGCATTACATCAGCACAGTTAATAATAATGAGATCTATTTTTGTGCATAATAAATAATAATTGTGCATATACATTACATATTAACGGCACAAATAAATACATTATTTCCTTATAGCTAAGGCAACATGTTGTGTTAAACAGTGCATACTTTCAAGTCCCATTTTTTTTAAATATAAATGTGCATGCATTACTGCATAAACGGCACATATGAACTTTACTAATTATGCTAAATCTGCATTATCAACATGGCACATATGCACTTTACTCATAAGATTGTACTGTGCATCCAAACAGCTTCAAAATATTTACAACTTACGAATGCCTTGATAAAGTGAAAGACATATAATTGTGTCACTTGCATGAATAGAATATTGAATGCAAATACAGGCTCAGTATAATGTAGCCAATATATGTATGTAAAACATAGTCAATGTTCGGTTCAAAGTCAATAGAGTTCACAGAAAATGTCCCATTATCTCAGTAAATTGTCCTTGGCATAACGTATTGTAGTGGATATCGCTGTCACATCTGTTAATAATAACCTCATTAGTTCTGAGTCTTCCTCTCAACAATAACGTATTGGAGGTATAACTGTTCTGCCACTTCTCGTAACAACAGCATCTTTGACAGTTCTATCACCTTGTGGTTGGTCATCACCCACATTAGGAGGAGTCACACATTTAGCTTTGGAGGGTTTTAGGGCCCCCCTTCCCTTGCAGGGTTTTAAGTGATCATGATGCACCACCACAACTTTTCTTTTTGTTTTTATTTTATACAAAATTGGAGAAAGCACCTCAATAATTTTGAAGGGACCGAGCCATACAGGCTGTAATTTCTTTGAACGACCGGGTTTTGACATGTTATTATATCTATACACTAGGTCGCCCTTACAATATTGTGTCTGTCTGGCATTTGTGTCATAGTACGCTTTTTGCCTCTTTAAATTCTCGCCGAGACATTTTCTGGCAAACTCGTGAACGCTCTGTAGCTTTTCTTTTAATTGCATGACATAGCTATTTGGTTCAACATCTCCTTTAATAGATTTTAAACCAAATGTAAAATCAATGGGCTGTCTAGTTTCCCTTCCAAACATCAACATGTTTGGGGTCAGACCTGTTTGTCTGTTAGGGACCGCCCTGATTGCGCTTGTAATTAAAGATAAATGTTCATCCCAATTACTGTCCTGTCCTTCCAAATAACACCGTATGCACTGCATGATAGTCCTATTCTGACGCTCGACGGCGCCATTCGAACACGGCCTGTTCATTAGTCCAATTAAAAACACTTTTGTTTTTGGTCAAATCATACAGTATACCAGACATAGCAGCAAAACATTTTATGTGACTTCTATGGTAATTAACTAGACCAAGAAATCTTTCCACGTCTTTCTTACATTTTGGACGTGGCCAACGTTGAACTGCTTTTATACTGTCAGGATTTGGAGCAATGCCATTCTCATCTACCAATTTACCCAAATAGAGAACACTCCTTTTGAGTAATGAACACTTGGATGGTTTTAATTTCAATCCATTTTCTTTGAAAATGTTATCACAAATTACTATTATCTTAAAGGCACACTCTTTGATCTGTAAAAAAAATAATTTCCCAGACACTTCAGCAATCTTGCCTTAAACTTTAAGGAATGCCCTAGCTAGAAATGCATTACTAAATCTTGGTGATAAACTGTACAAGAAAATGTATTCTACCTGTATTGCTTTCCTGAGATTTCCACTTTCAAATTGTGCATTAAACATCAAGTGAGCACCAATATCTTCTCTCCTCTGTAGCCTAGAAAAACAACAAATTAACACTTCACAGCATAATCAATTAAAATTTTATAATGAAGCATTTATCAGTCACATGCCATGTCACAACAATCATCATCATCATCAATATGATAATGTTGGTAATTCTCTTACCTCTGTTCATCCATATTCTTTAGATTGGAGTAGTGAGTGCTGTACATGGAGCCTGCCAGTCTGACTATGGTGTCCAAGTCATAAACAACTTTATCTAACAGCTGGTCTGGGTTGATCATACGGTCTATATCTTCAAATATCTTTTGCCTTAAACAGAAAAATCATGAATTTATTAAAAATGTTAATTTTTTTAGTAGATGAACATTCAGCCTACACTTACAGTAATTTCCATAGTAGAGGATATTTCTGGTACATGTAAAGCCTGGCAAAGAATCATGAGATGCACTAAACCATATCTTTGGGCAGCTTTCAGAATGATATTAAAACCAAGTGTCTGAAGCCTAAAAAGTAATCACAATGTGACTAAGTCAAATCACCACAGTTGTACTAGAGAGTAACAGTTCAAGTTGTCCTGGGGTCTTGGTGTACAAAATACTGAGCCTGAAATTGGTTTATATTATAGCCTGAACAGGGCTTACTACAAGACAAAAAATTTCTTAATTTTTTCATTTAAAATCAAAATCATATTTCAACAAAATATTCAAAAATACCTCTGTATCCCAAACTTTTTCTCAAACAGTGGTTCCCCATAAGGTACGGGTTTGCAGCCATGGAGCTCTGGATAGGCGAGTTTGTTAAACCTTCCCACACTCTTAGTTCTGCAGGCCATGTCTGAGTAGATTTCTGGACCATCAAATGCTGTTCCTGTCACAGACAAATATGATGCAAAAATCACAGCCAAGCCCAAGTTAAATGCACGTTAATACGAAAAGTGATGCTTTTATAATCTGCTTGGCATTTTTTCCCACTTTGCAAGGCAAAATTTCAAGTATCACATTTCCCTCATCTAGCAATTTTTTTAATATACTGTACTTAAATTTTCATGGTGGGAAAGATAACAAGAATCTTTGCAATATACCTAAACCTAAGTGTTTCAAATTATTATCTACCTATCAGTCTGGCTCGACATACCTTCTTCTACCATGTACTCTGAGCCAGCAGAGTCCAGGAATTCATCAGACGCGTTCAGTTCACTTGGGGTGGTCATTCTTGTAATGGACAACGGTGCAGTGCTGTTCCATTCAAGATCCAGCTCTAGAACTTCTCTTGCATTAGGTTTACCACTGGGTTTCCCCTTCCCTTTCCTACCCCCTTGAGACTGCTGCTTGGATCCTTTGGAAGCCTTTTGTCTGCCACCTTTGCTGGCACTCTTAGCCCTGAGAGTGGGGCCACATTTGGAAGCTCTCGGTGGAGAAATATCAAGCCTAAACACACTGGCACCAGTTCTTACATTCACCGCACTAGCACTATCTTCTGAGCTGTTATCCGATGCCCCGGCAGTAAGCCTGGGTTCAACTGCAGTCGGTCTGTTTAAAAGTCTTGATGATGAAGAGCTGTAGGAAGCAACATCAGCACCACTCTCTGTATCCCTCCCTTGGCCCATTTGAAGATTGTTGAATGAGTCACAGAGTTCGGAAGTTCTGCGTAGACTATGTAAGCTGTGGCGACTGGAGCGGGGCATCTGATGTATCAGCTCCTCCAGTGCTGTCTCAGAGAAGCTGTGTCTAGGAAGTCCAGACATTAGACCACTACTTGTGTAGAAGTTCCTGGATAATGTCAAGTCCTCTTCCTCCTCTTCTTGAATCTGTGAAATGAATAACAGACAATGAAAAATAATTCCTAGTTTCCTTAGTTGACACAAGCATGCTTTCAATACAGCTTAATTTTCCTATGGCTGCTGCAAGTTACAAAAATAAGTTTTCTCTGGGTATTTTATTCACAATTTCTAATAATCTTAACTATCTTCTTTTAAAAAGTTTTTGCTAACTCCTAATGCATTTTGCAGTGTATGAAGAAATATTATACTTACCTCAAATTCAAACATCTCAGGGAAAAATTTGTCATACGATAAGGACAAATCTTCAGCAGATCTCTCATATGGTAGTTCAGCACCAAATTCAGGAACCTGTTCTGCCTGAAAAATACATATTTTATGCTTAAAAACTGATATCAAGAAGTAAGGAATACGACATTGTCACTGAGCTAAATTTCTAAACAAAAAAAAACTTTAAAAACATTCATGTAAAATGGTTAATGTTCTAACAAATATGTTCCTTTTGGATCCAAAGGTCCACCAATAAAAGGAAGTAATGACATTCAGAAAATACAATTTTTTGAACATGTAAAATATCCATTGACCTCTCCTCTATAATAAAAAGTACACTAGTAACCACTGCAGTCTGATCTGGCCACCAGCCTAGAGCAGGATACCACTCCATCAAATGCAATTTGGCAAAATTTAACCACACGATTACCAATGTGGTGAGACAGAGGAAATAAAATACTTTTACACACTTAGGAATCCTAGCTAGCAGTTGAAAATCAAAGCAAATATGCCGAGGAATGTAAACTTGAAAAGGAGACATGCAACATTTTGAAGCAAATTTATATCAGATATCAAGAGCATGCACTAAATCAATAGTAATAGATTCAGGACACAAACTTAACTCAGGAGTCGGTGATTCTACATGAAAGCAATACCATTCATAGTTCAGCATTCCAATCACCATTTAAAAAACATTTTATATTTCTTTACAGCACAGCTATAGATGTAGCATTTCCAAATTATTTGTATGTAAATACATGTAAGCAGGCCTTTTCAGACTGCAAAATCAGATGCACATATATATATCCATGTAGGCCATACCAGGCAGCAAGGGTACATATGCATTCATGCAAAAGCAGGGACACATGTACATATATATATATATATATATATATATATATATATATATATATATATATATATATATATATATATATATATATATATATATATATTCAGGCAAGAATCAGTGAGAAAAATCCAAGACAACAAGCAGTCCAACCAGGCCCGATACTTACAGCCAGCTCATCATAAATCTCCTGTAATAACTGATGTCTCCTGATTGGGTCCTCCATCTGTCAGAATGTCAAGCATTAATCAGCGGAGCAACAATGAATGCTTTCACAAAGCAATTATGATGTTATAACTCCCACTTCCTCCAGTTCAGTTTTGATAAAAAAAAAACCTGGGATAACTGCTTGACAATGTGCAAATTTGTCCTTTACCACGTAGTGCCAGTTGATGACAACATGTGACACAATATTAGTGTGTTGTTTATGCTACCAGTGTTAGTACTGTAAAAAGAACAACAACAACAGAAAAAAAAACATGAAGATTTTTTAAAAATCAACTCACTTCAGTTTGTAATTTACTGGCTTCAGTATCATCATCACTGCTGATGTCATCATCATTATCCAGTGAACTGTTTTCACTGCCGTTGTCGCCACCTATTGAACATAAAAGGAAAAGATACAACAGTGGTGTTACTGAAATAAAATGACATTCTGAGGTGAAATTTTGCTGAGTGCAAAAATTTGTTCAACTAGGAGTCCAAATTTTGATGACAAAAAATATGCAGACAATACAAACTGATACAAGAACTTATAATTCATACTTAACAACCCAAACCACACCCCATTTTAGGAAAGATATAAAAATCAAATTTTAAAAAACAATGGAGCATAATGGTTTTCTAAAATAAAGCATTCCCAATCATTAAAACTCATTTTTATCATTACAACTGTTCTCCAGCACAACTGCCAACATACCATCGTTGAGCATCATAAACTCCGGAATGTGAAAGTCGCTTTCAGGCAGGGGACAGGTGAGAACGCTGCGGATACTGGCGACTGGAAGACGATTCTTTGGAAAACACTTGCGCATGATGAGGCTGGAGATGAAGATCACCTGCTCCAGGTCACGGCAGTTGATGCTCTCTTGACAGGCACTGTACAGAATACGGATGCCGTCTGCCTGGATGAATGCGTGGCGACCAGATTCTGTTAAAAGCAGAGGAAAAAACAAAAGTGAGCAGTATAGTTTAGGACAGGTGGTTTAGTTTTGTAAGTTCCAATAGATATTATTGCCATATATAAAATTAAATTATATGATACATAATTTGTTTTGTATGAAACTATCTATGAGAGAAACATCACAAAAAACTACATGATTCTGATCAATATATTACTTTCCATCGGTAATTTCTTTTTAAATCAAAAAAGGTAAAGTTTGGTAAAGCTTTATCAAAAAGTTAAACAAGAACTCCTTACTGAGATTTGTGATATGCTTGAGTACATTCAGCACAGCTTTCCGCAGTGCAATGTGCCTGTTTTTGCTGTCTCCCCTGTGCCAATCAGAGAACATGTTCAGTAACATGGGGACTCCTCCATGTCCAATGGCTCTCGCAGAGTTACTCTCTGTGAATATAAAGTGAATTCAGCATGTGCAGCATATAAAATGTTCCATAAAAATAGCTTCCTGGCATTCACACTTTTAGCTGTGTTTTTAGGCAATATACTATTTGCTCTGTTTGATCTATGCATCAAAGAATTACTTCACAAATATATGCATGGAAAAAAGTGTCATACATTATCTTAAAAACCCTTTCCTGTCTAAAAGCCTTATTCAGTAAGGTATATTTTTTCTCAGTTAAAATACCTCTTATAGCTATTCTTTTGATTGTTCAATTCTTACTTGATATTACCAGTAGCACAATTATATCCAAAATAGTTAATATAATGTCTGTAAAATATTTATGAAAAATTAATTCTGTAAAAAAAAATCCACTGAAATCTTAAATGGTCAGCCATATCACATAAAAAATAACTGTTTCCTCACTACACCCATATCTCTTCTATCTCTTCTCTACAATTAAATTTTGACCCCCTTGTTTCTTACTCACTTGACTTAACCAGTAATACCAGAGAATCTAATGTCAACTTCAACATGGACAGATGTTTCTTTCCACATGATGTGATCACCCTGAACAGGTAACTGACAGCACCATTCTTCCCCAAATAAGAAGCATTCACAGCTAGAAACAAAATAAATAAATAAATAAATAAATAAATAAATACATCTTCAAGGCATGAGGACAGACTGACCTTACTTAACAGTCAATATCAAAGCGACTTTTATACATGTCAAATTAAATTGATAAAATTATGTCATAAAGAGATTTTTTTTTTGGAATTAAAAGAAACAGCAGTGAAAATCATATGTAATATACCGAGAAGTTTCCTTTATTTTCCAAAATCTTTCATGAGACAGAGCTTAACTATGTTTCTATTTGCTCAAGTAAATAATACAACCAAATATTGGGTTCATTTAGCATTGGGATTCAGTCTTCTCTCAAACCTCAATAAAAACTAAGTCAACATCTACTTTCAACATCAATGCACGTACCATTGTTAGAGTATAATTTGAGTACTGGCAGCACTGCTTGGAGGACCCTTGTACTACTGGTGTGGTTTCTTAGTAAGCCTAAGGTTACTGGCAAGGCTTGGCTTAATCTCGCTTTCACTCCAAACTTACGATCTATGAACAATACCACAATATTTAAGGCAGTGATATTAAAACTACTCTGGGTGGCCATAAGAAGTATTTACAAATAATATATATAAATATTTGTCAAATGCACATCATGCTCTTAATTACATTTTACGTACATTTTTAATCACATTTCAAAATGAGAGAACACGTAGATAAAAAAAATATCTTGAAAAAAGTTTGTGAAAAGTTTTACAGTCAAATAAGTCATAAAATTAAATCTGTACCTTTAGGTCCTAATTTAGCTAAAAGGTGGTGTATTGACAACAACAGTTCTTCATTTGGTTGGGTTTCCTTCCACTCCCCCGTGAGTGCAGCAAACAATCCCTGGGTGGCCCCATTACTGACTAGAGTCCCTGCTTTCTTACCAGAAGCTATAAATATGTCAAACAAATGTTCAGGCTGATAATATCATCAAAGTAAATTTGCTTACTTGATTGTAAAGCAGTATGTAAACATGCAGGTGTATGATGACATTATTTATGATGATTAATTACATGACAATGTCTTATCATAGCACTGGTAGGCCAAGAACAAATAAAAAAGTTTGCCAGCTTAAGCCTTCCTCTTTGCACTGTGTGTGACTGGTCAATTTTTTTAACTGAGTAGTTCCAGCACTGGTCGATTTAAGACTTAAATAATATGTAATATATCCTTAACTGAACTGTATTATGCCCACAATCTGAACACTGATAAAAAAAGTTAATCATAAAATGCCTTGGGTAATATGTGAGCTATTTTGCCTTTAGTATCTTACATAACTCACCTGTCTTTCCTATCAGTTCTGCTAGTATGTAGACAACATTCTGTGTGACTGCCACATCTTCGGCCACCTCTAATATTGTGACTAAACTGTCCAAGTATTCACTGTGCTTTAACACAGCATCACGGTGGGTTTTTTCTAAATAAAAAAAAATAAATAAAAATATAAAATCCAGTTCTGTAAATTGGAGTGCAGATTTTGATAAACTGGTTGAAGGCAATTTTGTTTGTCTTAAGACAAACACTAAATATAAGATTCACAAACACTTCAATTGCTGCATAATTTTGAAATTGAGTCAATGGAAGGAAAATCAGCAGGGAATAATTTGTCCTTATATCTTACCTTGGGAGCTGACAAACTGTAGTATCTTAGTGGTGGTAAACCTGAGCTGTTGGACCTCCTCTGGGTCTCTGCGTGAAGGACGGTGGCCGAGGAGCTTTTCCAGTGTCTGGAACAGGTTACTCAGACGAGTCCTGAAAAAAAAAAAAAAGAAAAAAAAGTTATTTAATCCCCTATATGCAGAATGTCTTTTTTGTTTAACAGTGATGAAATATATTGAGACACGGAACTATGTGTTTTTGATTTTCTAACGATTTAGAAGAGAGTTTTATGTCCATTGTACACGCTATCTATTCAATTATGAAACTATGGTCCCGTGACCCTAAAAGTGACGGGCTAGATTTTTTCACCTTTGAGTTTTGACAAGCCTACAAGTATCACTATTCCTATTTTCAAAAAATTAATGTATAAATAAAAATCAAGATGTTAAATAAAAATAACTATTTTAACTATCAAATGGAAAATAAAAAATAGCATGTTATTAAATTTTGTTTGGAAATGTTTACAAAGAGAATGAGCACTGCTCTCAAATTATTGTTTTCCATACCAAAATTTGAGACCAAGCACTAGCCCTTAGCCAACCAACAAGATAGTTAACAGAGGCTAAAAAAAGCAGGTAAAATCCTGTCTTAAATGTTAAATTTGATTTACTTTTGATTAAAAAAAACATTTATAATTCTGCTTCAGACAAAAAAAAAAAAAAAAAAAAAAATACAAATTCTCTAGAATGTTCCCAGAGGAAAAACTAACCTACCAGAGGTACATATCACCCATCTTAACAGCACAGATCCTTCTCTCATTCTACCCTCTGGCTCACTTCTCCACAGCTATTATAATACTTTTTATCATTAGCTAAGACTTTATATTCATATATCAAATTTTTGTTCATTTTATGATCTAATGGTTGATAATGGATAAAGTAATGGGGCAATGGAGTCACTTCCTACGTAATGGATTGCGGTTCGCGAGCTGCCAATTACATAATATTATGTTGGATTACGCAAAGCTTAAAGCTTAACTCTGTAGATCATAAAAGGTGGGGATTACTTCCCGCCATAGAAAACTTATCGTAAAACCGAATGGTGAAGCTCGGTAAGTTTTCTGCCCCACCCAAAAATTTGTATAATGTGTAAAAATTGTAAGAAACAGGCTGAGAGTATCTTGTAAAATACAAATATGATTTAATGTCTATCAAAATGGAATACAGAATTACTATATAAATTATACAATTCAAAGATCTCCACTGTCTAAGACCTCTGGACCGAGGACCATGGAGGCATTTGGAAGCTGACCCATCAAGGTGATGGGAATATATCTATCAAATATGAATACTGAATCTCTATCCTAACTATGTAATTTTCTAGAACTTAAAAATCCCCACGAACCAAGACCCCTGGACCGAGGATCATGGAGGATTTTTTGGCATTTACACATCTAATTAGTAAGCAATCTGCATGACAGTGATTGTTCATGCTCAGTTTGTCTACGCTCCCGGACTAGTGAATCCAAGGCAAGAACGGTTAAGTGACAATTAATCCTTAATACTGACATTCTATAATATACATTATTCTATTGTTGAATACAATGGTCATGTGCATAAAATATTGGTGCCCAGATTTTGTGTATGGTCTCTGCTTAGTATATTGAATGAAAACATGATCTGGTTAAGTGGCACTTCCAGCCGCTATTGGTCTTAGCATATTGCAAGAAGACGTGACCTGATTAATTGACACTTCCAGTCGCTAGTGCCATAGCATATTGGAAGAAAATATGAACTGATTAATAGACACTTCTAGTCGCTAGTGCTAAGAATCTTAAATAATATAAAATTCATAAAATAGTTAAAACCGGAGGTATTTCATATATGTATCGGATCTCCATCTGCTTAGGAGTTTGATTCGAGTTTCCGACATGCTGCTACTTGCTGCAAGCGTAGCACCGCCAATGCGAAAGCTATGGCTTTTAATATTCAGGTGGGAGAGGTTAGCTGTCTTCACACCGTTGTCCAAGCATTTAATGAAATCCTGGGAGCGAACTGGGGATCCTTCAGCGTGAACGAAGAATTTATTGTCTATTGCTTGTGCTAGGGCGTAGGGATACATATTCAGAGACCCATCTCACAGGACATACCTTAGGCATCCTCTTGCGAATTATCACCGTGTGATTTGAGTTCTGACCTGCATGTTTAAAAGAAGGGAGATATAAGGTGATGGCACCTTCAGACTGATTCATCTTAACATTGCCCAGTTGAAGATGGTGGTCAGTTTCACTAGATACAACTTCACTTATCCCTAAGAGTCCAAAGAATGCAAGCGTAAACATGGCAGCCATTAAGTGTACTTTGTAGGCTGACTGCATACCGACGGTGAGGATCTGTATCAACATAAGTAGGATTGACAAAGTAACTGGGGACCTTGTGTCGCATGAGGGGTTTTTCTTCTCCGGGCCCCGAATTGTTTGTTTCACTATGAAAGCAGATGTTGAGTCCGAGATGCTTGCCATCTTGTATTTATAGCTTAACGCAGGGAGG